GTCCCGGACCCGGTGGCTTAGAACTCACGCCGGGTGCGTGTGCGTGCGTGCCCAAGATCACGAGAGGAAAATGGAGGAGAAGGGATTGCGGCGTGACCATTCCCCCCTGGGGGGTGATTTCTCGCTTTCTCTCTCTATGTCTCTCTCTGTCTGTCTGGCGAGTGCACACGCCCTATAGCAAAAACCTCTTCCCAAAAAAAAAATTATTATTTTATTGAACTATTGAACTTTATTAATTTATTTTAATTTGACCAGAGAGGGACAAAGTGAGAGAAACTGAGAGAGGGAAGGTGAGAAAGTAAGCCACCAGGTCCAGGACTCAAACCGCAGTAGGCCATGTGGGAGTCCAGCACTCTTAACTGCCACACCACCTGCCGTCCCTGTGAGTTCTATATCTGCAGATTCACAGGAACACAGATGGGAAATATTTAAAACAAACCAAACACCCATAAAAAATAGCAATACAAAAATTAAAAAAAAATAGAATGTAACAACTATATAGCATTTACCTTGTACTAGGTACTGTAAGTAATCTAGAGATGATTCACAATTACAAAAATTAAAGGGCAAAATCAACTGATGTAAGTAGCTTCACTAATCTTAAGCAACTGTCAAAAATGAGTTAAGGTCCACAAGAGCATGTGGGTAGGTTTTATGCCAATACTCCGCCATTTGAGGTGACTTGGATTGAGGGGACTTGGATTTGGGGATCTGTGGGAAAGGCCTGGAACCAATCCCCAACACAGGTAGTGAGGGACAATTGTAATAAATATATGCAACATTATTTGGAGTTAATAACTAACTCTGATATTAGTACTTGTTAATATATATATGATTATTATTTTGATTTGCTGGATATTATAACACAAATTTATAAATGGCTTTAAGAAAATATTATAGAGAAGTTTTACTGCCACTTGTAATTTCATAATGAAGGAGAAAAAGAGACATAGCCAGGGACACTCCAGGAAGAATTTCTGTAAGAGTCTGGTATGAGAAACCACAGAAACATTTTAAGTGATAAAACATGACTACAGGGGCCAGTAGGTGGCATGATAGTTGATGCACTGGACTCCCACATGGCCGACCACAGTTCAAGTCCCAGACCTGGCAGCTTGCTTTCTCACTTTCCCTTTCTCTCTCCCTAGTCAAATAATAATAATAAACTAAATTAAATGAAATAATTTTTGAAAATTAAGTAACCTGCTATGGGAACTTCAAATTTATTTATTCAAAATAATTATTTTATTTAACTTTATTTATTTATTTTAATTTGACCAGAGAGGGACAGAGAGAGATTGAGAGAAAGTGAGAAGGCAAGCCAGGTCCAGGACTCAAACCACAGTCGGCCATGTGAGAGTCTAGTGCCCTTAACTTCTACACCACCTGCTGGCTCCCTAAATTAAATAATTCTTAAAAAACAAACAAACATGGCTAGATTTTAAATGCCTTCTATCTTTATCATATAAGACATAAGAGAAAAAAACAGCAAAGGAAATTCTCAAGTGTACCATTTCCAAGAGAAGTTTAGTTAACAATCACTTATCTAAACACTTAGCAGTATTATAAGTTTACATTTATTTAGGAATTAAAAGAATGAATAGTACTCCCTTGGGTACAAATTGTATTCAAGCATTTTAAAAACAATCAGTTACAAAAGAAGATAGTGAAATTAGTCAAAAACAATGCCAAGTAATTTGTTCTTAAAGTGGCAGTGCAATACAGTAAAGGTGGCCTTCATGACTAAAGGGTTTGAGAACCAAACAAAAGCAGGTCAACATATTCCTTAAAGAAATAATATACAAATTTTCCCTTTTTTCTCCACTTACAACTGCAGTATTTTAGCTCTACTTTTTTCATCACTTTTTGGTAGGTGCTATTAACACCTGAGGCGAAGGTGACAGGCCTCCCAATTAAGCAGTTGTTTTCTTTATATACCGTGTCTCTTCGTTCCTATAATTATTATCAACTTTCAACTGCATGATTCCTTCAGCTGATTCTCATTCCGTATCTCAAAGAGTAGGTTTCTGTCCAATTTTGCGCCTATTTATCCCATGTGCTTTTTCATAATGTTGTTAGGTTCTTTAAAGCTTGGCTTCCGAATTCTCATAGTGTAACAGCCAACCACAGGTTTCCTTTACTTCTGCTAGGAGTTTAGTCACGTGTAGCTTAAAGACGGGGACACAGTCAGAGACATGTGTCATGAGGTGCTTTTGTCACCGTGTCAGACATCAGAGTGTACTACACAAATCTAGATGGTAGAGATTGAGCATGCCTAGGCTACACGGAAGAACCTATGACCACTGGGTGTGCAGCTCGTCACTGACTGAAACACCGAGACGTGGCACCTGAGTGTATGTGATGTTTTATGAGTGGCCAGGGTACTAACTTGGTATGTTAGGCAATTAAACAGCCACAGTAAAAAACCAGAAATGGAAATGTAATACCCTTACGTCCTGCCCCCCCATCTCTATACAAAGCACAAAGGCGAAAATAAACTAAAGAAGGAAAAAAAAACTTAAATAATCTTAGGAAATAATAATATCCCTGTGCCAAAAATAAATATCAGACACATACTAAACAAGCATTAAAAAACAAGAACTCTATTAGATAAAAGAAATGGAAGTTAAGTCAGGCTTTCAGACTTACCACATCCAGCTAGTTATAGCCAGTCTGGTAAGGGCTTGCAGTAAAGTCCTTTGGGGATTGACTGAAATATGGGGAGAGTTATAAAGAGAACACTGGCTCAGATCCAGCAATGACTTATGAACTTGCCCACAAGCTGACAGTAAAAGAAAACTAACAGAATTTGGAAACTTTTACATCTGCTTCAGAAAAGACTTTTATCTGCCAGCCAAAGCCCTTTTAATTCTTTTTTGTTTAATACCCAGTAGTTATTTGGCTTTCGTAATGTTGCTTCCTGGCCAACTGTATTGACAAGTCCAGGATCCCAGTTAGCGAGGGCCAGGCAAGCTTTCAGTCAACAAGCTTCAAGGCTGGCTGGATGGAGGGTGTTTTGCACTGCCCAGCTTCTTTGTGAACTGACTGACCAGCAATGAACTATGATAAATTCTAAGGCATAATTAAAGAAAAATTTAGGAAGGTCTGGAAGAGAGGGGCCAAACTGCACTATAAATATAAAAATCAGATATTTTAATGTTCTTAATAAATATTTATAAAAATATATACATATAATGAATTGGCCATTTTATAATGCTGGTTAAAATCATAAAGAGCTGTTATCTTAGTAGGTGAATCAATACCCAGCTTCAAATTCATATGTAGAAACATTTTCAATTAAAGTTCAATAAATACCCAGGAAAAGATTACATATAATGAGAAAAAGAGTAGTTTCTGTATTTCTGTTTTTACCAAATGTTTTATTGGTTAATGATGAATTTAAACTAATCAATAAACTATAGTCTATCAAGGGTTTCTGTAAAAAAGCATTCATTTTCTGATAATAAATAAATCCAGATTTTGTACAGTCAGAAAAACCAGGATGATGGCCAATAGCAAAACATAAAGATAATTCCTGGATTCAAAATCATACGAATAAATCAAGAAGAGAGTTGAAGACGTCTTTAGAACTAACCTCTCATCAGGAGAAGCCATGAAATCTACGCCACTACTTCTCACGGCCTCTCAGTTGAGCACTAGAATAGCATCAGATCTACAGTCTTCCCCAGTATTTCTCTTGGATCACTTTTTGCTTACTATGAAACAAATCCTACTTTCACGAGAGGGAAAAATAAAAATAGAGACTTATTAAGATGAAATTTGCACTTTTGGTGTCCTAGCAATTGAAACAGAAACTAAGGGCTTCTTATAGCACTCCTAGAAACTTCTGAAAATGCAATCAAGTAGCACTCAGATGAAATATTTTTTTCTTTCTGTAAATGTCCAAGAAATTTAAAAATCAACACCTAAAAAAAAAGCAAGGCATAAATTCATCAGCACCAAGTGGAAATAATATTCAAAAGAAGCACTCTTATGTGTCAAAAAAAACCGCATGTTGGTGAACAGGTTCTAATCTCTGCTCATCAGCACCAAGTGGAAATAATATTCAAAAGAAGCACTCTTATGTGTCAAAAAAAACCGCATGTTGGTGAACAGGTTCTAATCTCTGCTCTAGGAAAAATTCACTGCCTGAGGTTAATACATTTGGGCAAGAGAAAAAGTAAAACTTAACAAATGACTCTATTTTACATTTGATTTCTACAATTCACGATTTTCCCCTATGGTCTGACATGACTTTAGGCATTTTTCAGAGGAGGTGTAGTTTCAAGTTGGATTGTCTTCCTTCCCTACTCCATTATCTGTGAAGCAGGAAATATCAAATTTAACTTTATTATTAATAATTCTTCAGTGATCATTCTAGAAAGTCATATTTAGTTACAATTTAACAGTTAACATTTAAATAAACTTGAGTTGTAGTCACAACTTTTCAAAGGTGATCCTATCAAAGTCTTGGTTGTCTTGCTTGCTTATCAGATGTGACTAAATTGCTGGTGGCTGGAGTTCGAATCACATACAGTCAACCACATTATTGGATCCATGACCTACATCTCGAATCTGGCTAGTTAAACAGGCACACACAGCTACACCTGCTCCGGCTCGGCAGTGAGATACAGATCCAACAAGCTCCCATCTGAAAAGATAGAGTGTTATTATGAAACAAAGCAGGATTTCTTTTGCCCAGAAGACCAACGAGATAGACAAAAACTTCCTATCAATCCACTGGAAATGGCTTTAAAAGAAAGTAACCTTTTAGAGGTAGATAAGATATCCCACACTTTTGTGTTAACAACTACAACTAGCAGTATTTTAACACTCAGGGGTATTGGCAGATCCCATTAAAGCATGGAGAAAACATAGAAATTACCTGTTCAGCACTGGATCAAATGCTTCTACTGTATTTAGGTATGCATTGCCGTTATGACCACCGACTGCGAAGATTTTGCCCATCACGGTCGCGATCCCCACTCCACCCCTGGGAGTGGTAAGTGCAGCCACATAATCCCACTTGTTGCTTCGAGGATCGTAACGCTCAACTGAACTCAGAGGAGAATTATCATCAAAACCACCTACAGAAATATTTTCAGAAGGCATTATATTTCATAGAAATTAACGCCTAAATCTTAGTTCAATAGCTTCTATAACCCAACCTTTTAAAAGCATTTTAGGGGGGCAGCAGGTGGTGTGGTGGCTAAGGGTGCTGGATTCCCACATGGGTGACCACAGTTTGAGTCCCAGACCTGGCGGCTAGCTTTCTCACTTTCCCCCTCTCTCTCTTTTGCTTGCTCATTCACTGTGTCCCTCTCTGGTCAAATTAAAATAAACAAAGTTAAATAAAATAACTCTTTAAAAATAAGGCATTTTTAGAATGGTTAGAGAAAATGGAGAAAAAACTCTCTGGTCAAATTAAAATAAACAAAGTTAAATAAAATAACTCTTTAAATATAAGGCATTTTAGAATGGTTAGAGAAAATGGAGAAAAAAATGCATCCCAGTACCTATCAATCACCACCACCATTTTCCACAATTCAACTTAAAATAATTTATTGGTATTTTACTTTAATACTAGGATTAAAAATCTTAAATGAGAAAAGCTGGAGTCCCTGTATCTAAGCAGATTAGGAAGAAAGAAAAAAGAAAAACACAAATGTTCATATAATTTGTCCTTAGCCTTCTGCGGGCAAGCAGGCAGTATCGAAATCCCTTCTGTGTGTGTATGGTATTTCTGAGTGGTAGGAGAGCTTGGGCCCAGCAGCAGCACGGGATGGAGGCTATTGAATCCTACATGGCATACTGCCCGGTTGGAGTCCCGGACTCAGCTACATGAAAAACACACAGGACACATATGGGTGTGTGCCCTAAGATCCCAAGGGGAAAATGGAGAAAGGATTTTGGCATGGCCAACCCCCCCATGGTGTGCTTTCTTACTCCTCCCCCTCCTGTAAACATACATGCACCCTATGGCAAAATTACAAAAAACAAAACAAAACAAAACAAAAACACAAGAGAGCTTAAGAAGGGAATAAACTGGGGCTAGCAGATGATGCAGTGGTTAAGATGCTCAACTCTCACATGGCCGACCACAGTTCGAATCCCAGACCTGGCAGCTTGCTTTCTCACTTTCTCTCCTCTCCCTGGTGAGAGCATGTGTCCTATAACAAATTAAAAATAATAATAATTATAATAAAATTAAAGAATTTTTTAAAAGAATGGAATAAATCACACCAAGTCATATGACTCATCTAGATATAAGTTAAATTTCTCCAGTTGTTTCCCTTAACACTATAATTGCCATCGTAATGCCAGAGATGGTAGACTAAAATGGAATTTTTACCAGTTTTTGCTAAAACTCCAACTTCCTGCTACATATGCTAGATGATGACAGTCCTTTCTATAGATCATTCTAACAATGTACTTATTATATTCCCGAGAGTTAAACATAAGAGGCTGTTATTTTAATAGTGCTCTTTCCTTTGAAAACAAATGTGTCTCTTTTTAGACTCCTTCTAAGTCTAAATGAATAATAGCTCTCTTTGGTGACTCACTCAGCCTACATCGCAGAGAACAGAAAGTATTGATATTATCAGTCTCTTTATTTATTTTTTTTGGAAAGCTTTTTGCTACAGGCCGCATGCGCTCACCAGACAGACGGAGAGAGACAGAGAGACAGAAAGTGAGAAATCACGCCCCCAGGGGAGATGGCCACGCCACAATCCCTTCTCCTCCATTCTCCTCTCAGAATCGTGGGCACATACACACATGTGCCCAGAGTGAGTTTAAGCCACCGGATCTGGAACTTCAACTGTGGTTGTCTACATGGGAGTCCAGCGACATAGCCATTATGCCATCTGCTGTTCCCATAATCAGTCTCTTTAAAAACAAAGTTTGTTTAAAAAAAAGTCAACTCTCAATGGTTCAATTTAGCTAAATCAACTAAAATAAAATTCACCAATTTTACATGTATAATTTTATAAATTGTGACAAATGTATATGGTAGTGTCATCACCATGTGTCACCATATGACACCTCTTTTCCTCCATTCTCCTCTCAGGATCTTGGGCACGCACACATACGCGCCTGGTATGAGTTTAAGCTACTGGGTCCTGGACTTGAACTGTGGTCGACCATATGAGAGTCCAGCAATGTAACAATTATGCCATCTGCTGGTCCTGTACTTCTCTTTTTTTAAAAAAAATTATTTACTTATTTTGTTTATTATTTTTTGTTTAATTTGACGAGAGATAGAGAGAGAGAGAACGCAAGCTCCCAGGTCCAGGACTCGAATAGTAATCAGTCATGTGGGAGTCCAGCACCTCAACCACCTCACCACCTGCCAGGCCCCATGACATATTTTTCCAATGCATAAATCTATCATGACTTTCCCGATGCCTCAATAGTAAGATTAGCCATAGCTTTCTTTTTCTCTGGTTCTCTATCATTTCCCTAAATAATGCATAGATTCAAATAATAACAACAACAGAAAAAACAAAATGCAATCATGCTATTATAAATGCCCATATCTTCAGTTTTCTTATTCAAATCAGTTCTATTTTATTTACTTATTTATTTATTTTTTTTTTGAGAGAGAGATTTTTGCTATTAGGGTATGTGTGCTTGTCAGAGAGACAGAGAGATAGACAGACAGCAAGAAATCACCCCAAAGGAGGATGGCCATGCTGCAATTCCTTCTACTCCATTCTTTCAGGATTTTGGGCACACAGGTATACACGCCCAGTGTGAATTTCAAGCCACCAGATCTGGGACTTGAACTGCAGTCAGTCATGTGAGAGTCCAGCGCTTTAATCATTATGTCACCTATTGGCCCCAGTTCTACCTGTTTTAAATAGCAGTGACTAGAAGGTTTTCTTTTCTTTCTTTCTTTTTTTAATGTTCAACCTAAGTCATTCTATTTTTACTATGTTCTAACTAAGAGCAACTGTTGACATGTAGTCTGTATGCTTATGGTAAACACGGAGCTGTGAGAGGGAGCAACAGTGTACTGTAAGACCTCTGGATTCACAGAGACCCAAGTTCAAATACCAGCTTTGCCACCTGTTTAGGAATGTGACTATGAGGAAGTTATTTACAATCTCTGAGTCTCTGATGGCCTTTCACAGCTGTTATGACTGGGTAGCAGCTACGGGTAAATTGTGTTACTTCCTTCTTTAATACACACAAACACTAAAAGGTTCAGCATTACTTCTACTAATTGGAGATATCTAAATGCTAACAGTATTTCATTCTCTTGTCAAGAACTATGAATTATGCTGAAGTAATACAAACAACTTATGTCAATATGCATGCATAAGTAAGTGTGATATAAGCTGGTGACAACCCTCTGAACCCATTTCCTCCTCTGTAAAGGAGGGGATTACTAACCACAATGTAGCTACTCACTTATCAGGAACCTACAAAGTGCCAAACGCAGTCTGAGATGCATAACATATCAGTAATTCTTAGGAGGATAGTCAAAGAGAGCCATTATTATTCCCAGTTCATAGACATTCAAAGCCTTGCAATGGAGAAGGTGTTGAACAGGGGTAAAACAATACTGCTATCACTCAGGGGCTGACAGAAACACCAAATCTCAATACCTCCTTTGCAGTACAACACGATCTCCAGATTATTCACAGGCATACTTTTTTAAAGAATTATTTATTTTATTTTATTTATTTATTTAGTATTATTTTACTTTTAGAGAGATTTTTACTATAGGGCACATGCACTCTCCCGAGGGATAGAAGGCAAGAAATCACTCATTCTAGAAAGTCATATTTAGTTACAATTTAACAGTTAACATTTAAATAAACTTGAGTTGTAGTCACAACTTTTCAAAGGTGATCCTATCAAAGTCTTGGTTGTCTTGCTTGCTTATCAGATGTGACTAAATTGCTGGTGGCTGGAGTTCGAATCACATACAGTCAACCACATTATTGGATCCATGACCTACATCTCGAATCTGGCTAGTTAAACAGGCACACACAGCTACACCTGCTCCGGCTCGGCAGTGAGATACAGATCCAACAAGCTCCCATCTGAAAAGATAGAGTGTTATTATGAAACAAAGCAGGATTTCTTTTGCCCAGAAGACCAACGAGATAGACAAAAACTTCCTATCAATCCACTGGAAATGGCTTTAAAAGAAAGTAACCTTTTAGAGGTAGATAAGATATCCCACACTTTTGTGTTAACAACTACAACTAGCAGTATTTTAACACTCAGGGGTATTGGCAGATCCCATTAAAGCATGGAGAAAACATAGAAATTACCTGTTCAGCACTGGATCAAATGCTTCTACTGTATTTAGGTATGCATTGCCGTTATGACCACCGACTGCGAAGATTTTGCCCATCACGGTCGCGATCCCCACTCCACCCCTGGGAGTGGTAAGTGCAGCCACATAATCCCACTTGTTGCTTCGAGGATCGTAACGCTCAACTGAACTCAGAGGAGAATTATCATCAAAACCACCTACAGAAATATTTTCAGAAGGCATTATATTTCATAGAAATTAACGCCTAAATCTTAGTTCAATAGCTTCTATAACCCAACCTTTTAAAAGCATTTTAGGGGGGCAGCAGGTGGTGTGGTGGCTAAGGGTGCTGGATTCCCACATGGGTGACCACAGTTTGAGTCCCAGACCTGGCGGCTAGCTTTCTCACTTTCCCCCTCTCTCTCTTTTGCTTGCTCATTCACTGTGTCCCTCTCTGGTCAAATTAAAATAAACAAAGTTAAATAAAATAACTCTTTAAATATAAGGCATTTTAGAATGGTTAGAGAAAATGGAGAAAAAAATGCATCCCAGTACCTATCAATCACCACCACCATTTTCCACAATTCAACTTAAAATAATTTATGGGTATTTTACTTTAATACTAGGATTAAAAATCTTAAATGAGAAAAGCTGGAGTCCCTGTATCTAAGCAGATTAGGAAGAAAGAAAAAAGAAAAACACAAATGTTCATATAATTTGTCCTTAGCCTTCTGCGGGCAAGCAGGCAGTATCGAAATCCCTTCTGTGTGTGTATGGTATTTCTGAGTGGTAGGAGAGCTTGGGCCCAGCAGCAGCACGGGATGGAGGCTATTGAATCCTACATGGCATACTGCCCGGTTGGAGTCCCGGACTCAGCTACATGAAAAACACACAGGACACATATGAGTGTGTGCCCTAAGATCCCAAGGGGAAAATGGAGAAAGGATTTTGGCATGGCCAACCCCCCCATGGTGTGCTTTCTTACTCCTCCCCCTCTTGTAAACATACATGCACCCTATGGCAAAATTACAAAAAACAAAACAAAACAAAACAAAAACACAAGAGAGCTTAAGAAGGGAATAAACTGGGGCTAGCAGATGATGCAGTGGTTAAGATGCTCAACTCTCACATGGCCGACCACAGTTCGAATCCCAGACCTGGCAGCTTGCTTTCTCACTTTCTCTCCTCTCCCTGGTGAGAGCATGTGTCCTATAACAAATTAAAAATAATAATAATTATAATAAAATTAAAGAATTTTTTAAAAGAATGGAATAAATCACACCAAGTCATATGACTCATCTAGATATAAGTTAAATTTCTCCAGTTGTTTCCCTTAACACTATAATTGCCATCGTAATGCCAGAGATGGTAGACTAAAATGGAATTTTTACCAGTTTTTGCTAAAACTCCAACTTCCTGCTACATATGCTAGATGATGACAGTCCTTTCTATAGATCATTCTAACAATGTACTTATTATATTCCCGAGAGTTAAACATAAGAGGCTGTTATTTTAATAGTGCTCTTTCCTTTGAAAACAAATGTGTCTCTTTTTAGACTCCTTCTAAGTCTAAATGAATAATAGCTCTCTTTGGTGACTCACTCAGCCTACATCGCAGAGAACAGAAAGTATTGATATTATCAGTCTCTTTATTTATTTTTTTTGGAAAGCTTTTTGCTACAGGCCGCATGCGCTCACCAGACAGACGGAGAGAGACAGAGAGACAGAAAGTGAGAAATCACGCCCCCAGGGGGGATGGCCACGCCACAATCCCTTCTCCTCCATTCTCCTCTCAGAATCGTGGGCACATACACACATGTGCCCAGAGTGAGTTTAAGCCACCGGATCTGGAACTTCAACTGTGGTTGTCTACATGGGAGTCCAGCGACATAGCCATTATGCCATCTGCTGTTCCCATAATCAGTCTCTTTAAAAACAAAGTTTGTTTAAAAAAAAGTCAACTCTCAATGGTTCAATTTAGCTAAATCAACTAAAATAAAATTCACCAATTTTACATGTATAATTTTATAAATTGTGACAAATGTATATGGTAGTGTCATCACCATGTGTCACCATATGACACCTCTTTTCCTCCATTCTCCTCTCAGGATCTTGGGCACGCACACATACGCGCCTGGTATGAGTTTAAGCTACTGGGTCCTGGACTTGAACTGTGGTCGACCATATGAGAGTCCAGCAATGTAACAATTATGCCATCTGCTGGTCCTGTACTTCTCTTTTTTTAAAAAAAATTATTTACTTATTTTGTTTATTATTTTTTGTTTAATTTGACGAGAGATAGAGAGAGAGAGAACGCAAGCTCCCAGGTCCAGGACTCGAATAGTAATCAGTCATGTGGGAGTCCAGCACCTCAACCACCTCACCACCTGCCAGGCCCCATGACATATTTTTCCAATGCATAAATCTATCATGACTTTCCCGATGCCTCAATAGTAAGATTAGCCATAGCTTTCTTTTTCTCTGGTTCTCTATCATTTCCCTAAATAATGCATAGATTCAAATAATAACAACAACAGAAAAAACAAAATGCAATCATGCTATTATAAATGCCCATATCTTCAGTTTTCTTATTCAAATCAGTTCTATTTTATTTATTTATTTATTTATTTTTTTTTTGAGAGAGAGATTTTTGCTATTAGGGTATGTGTGCTTGTCAGAGAGACAGAGAGATAGACAGACAGCAAGAAATCACCCCAAAGGAGGATGGCCATGCTGCAATTCCTTCTACTCCATTCTTTCAGGATTTTGGGCACACAGGTATACACGCCCAGTGTGAATTTCAAGCCACCAGATCTGGGACTTGAACTGCAGTCAGTCATGTGAGAGTCCAGCGCTTTAATCATTATGTCACCTATTGGCCCCAGTTCTACCTGTTTTAAATAGCAGTGACTAGAAGGTTTTCTTTTCTTTCTTTCTTTTTTTAATGTTCAACCTAAGTCATTCTATTTTTACTATGTTCTAACTAAGAGCAACTGTTGACATGTAGTCTGTATGCTTATGGTAAACACGGAGCTGTGAGAGGGAGCAACAGTGTACTGTAAGACCTCTGGATTCACAGAGACCCAAGTTCAAATACCAGCTTTGCCACCTGTTTAGGAATGTGACTATGAGGAAGTTATTTACAATCTCTGAGTCTCTGATGGCCTTTCACAGCTGTTATGACTGGGTAGCAGCTACGGGTAAATTGTGTTACTTCCTTCTTTAATACACACAAACACTAAAAGGTTCAGCATTACTTCTACTAATTGGAGATATCTAAATGCTAACAGTATTTCATTCTCTTGTCAAGAACTATGAATTATGCTGAAGTAATACAAACAACTTATGTCAATATGCATGCATAAGTAAGTGTGATATAAGCTGGTGACAACCCTCTGAACCCATTTCCTCCTCTGTAAAGGAGGGGATTACTAACCACAATGTAGCTACTCACTTATCAGGAACCTACAAAGTGCCAAACGCAGTCTGAGATGCATAACATATCAGTAATTCTTAGGAGGATAGTCAAAGAGAGCCATTATTATTCCCAGTTCATAGACATTCAAAGCCTTGCAATGGAGAAGGTGTTGAACAGGGGTAAAACAATACTGCTATCACTCAGGGGCTGACAGAAACACCAAATCTCAATACCTCCTTTGCAGTACAACACGATCTCCAGATTATTCACAGGCATACTTTTTTAAAGAATTATTTATTTTATTTTATTTATTTATTTAGTATTATTTTACTTTTAGAGAGATTTTTACTATAGGGCACATGCACTCTCCCGAGGGATAGAAGGCAAGAAATCAC